GTGAAAAATTAAGAAGGGAAGTGGCAGTGGAAGTAGGATTAATTTGAGAACATTATTATTTGCAGATTAATAATTGACAAATATTAAATGGTAAAGAAGAAAAAATAGAGTAATCTATCTAAATTACATAGAATATCTTGGCAAAATCCATTAACGATATAAGCAGTAACATCTAGTATATATGTCCAAGTGCTTGAACGACTAGCAGGTTGTCCGCATGCATGTATCAATATAAGTGTTTTGCTTAACAAAAAAAAATGTGTAACACAACTCCTCTAGGAAAAAAGTGGCTAATTTCTGGAAAATTTTAGAAGGTAAAAATCATTAACCAGTCCCTTTGTAACACATTGAAAACACTCATATAAATAACCTTCCTTGATTTCATTTTTGAGAGAACACCAAGAGGAATACTAGATAGTCTTTATTTCTGTTTCCTCTCTCTCCTTCTTTGCCCCAAGAAGCATCAACATGCCATCTTAATTCCATTTTCCCCCCCTATTTCTCTTTACTTCGGCTTGATCAGTCTCCTCTGCTTGTTCATATCCATCTCCCTCTTCAAGAAATCAAATCAAAATGAGATAATTGTATCCCATGGAAAAGTGAGTTTCCTTCAACATTTCCCTTTTCTTCTTTTTCTCTTAACTAATTATTTTCATTTTTGTTCACTGAAAGATTCTTTTCGATCTACCTTCAAGTTTTGATTTTTTGTTTTTTTCTTCTAATTGACTTTCATGCAGGTCCCAATCCATGCTTGCTTTTTAATTTTTCTTTTTTATTTTGGTATATCTGATTCATAGTTGGTTAGAAGAATTTTATCAAGCATATCCTCAAGTGAATTAGAATTCGAATTAAGGTTTAGCATTTTCACCAATTTATTTTTCAAACAAAACAGCTTTATTATTATGTTTTGTCCAATGATTTTTGATGGCAATGTTATTACAAAACTCATTAACATTTTTCTTTTCGTGTATGGAAAGGGGGTTTTAATTATAAGGAAAGAATCACTGGATTTGATTTGAGGGTATGAAATTAATCCTTCCCTCAAAAGTCAAATTGACTTTTCCTCATATGTTAAGGTGTATAAGAAAGTGGGTCCACTACCATATATAAAAATTATAAAATATTGATTGCCAAATTTATTTTTTTTTTATGTGATTTACTGCCAAATTTATGAAATAAAATATAAAAAAAGGAGGAAATCTTAAGCTGAAAAAATTGAGGGGGACTTTGCTATTGGTTTGGGTTGGTGTGAGATTTACATAACTCTAAATTGAGGGGGAATTTACTTGTTTTTAACTATTATATTTTTAGTCAAGAAATCGCATATTGAAATTAATTTATGTTCGAGAAATTTTAAGGATATAATTTATTTAGATACTAGTTCCAAACTTAAGTTTTGAACTTGATTTATAAAATAATAATTGTTTATTAGTGAATCAAAGTATTGAGATTCATTTCTCATGTATTATATGAAAGTAAGTTAAACTATAACATGATTATGGAATTAAAGCAAATCATTACCCGTTTATTTAATTACTTAGCTCAACTTAAGCTATATCATGTTAGACAAACTTTTCTTTTTTAGGAAAGGCAATGTTTTTGGTACATAGGGGAGGTTAAGAGGAAGGGAGGGATTTGATTATTTGAAGGTTAATGCTAACACAATGCATTGTTATGGTATAATAAATCTCTTTAGGGAAATACAAAATTTATTCTCTCTATTTGTACTAGATGGACAGTGATGATTCAAGCATAGAACTACTGTTTGAGTATGAGGATGGTGGAGTAGACTCCATTAGTAACCCCAAGAAGCGAAAGCAAACAAATCACATGAATGAGACAGATGTGATAAACCTTTCAAATGTTGTAAGTATAACAATTTTACACTAGCTAGACATGTATATTATTAACCTTCATTTATGATCCTAAAACTAACATTTACTTAATGTTTACCAGGAGAACACAACTGGCAGTAGAGCTTCTTTTCATACTAATAGTGAACTCTTTGAGCCTTCTATATGCCATCCAACATCAAATCCACCATCAACAACTTGGATTCCTCCATTAGAAGAACAACATGAAACAACAGTACCACATGTTTGCCTTCCTTTCGATTACCTCATTTATGATATTGTCACTTAGTAGTAATATCTTCACTTTTGTTGATATAGGAAGTTGCAAAATTCCAAGCTCTAATTGACAATGGAGACAACGAGTTTCAATTGAATGTCATTTATGATACTTCCCAACATGGAGTTTCTAGCTATGAAACCTCAAATCCTTCCAATGTTAGTGCTCCCAAGTTGTAATAACAAACCATTTAAAAGAATTTTGTCATTAAATTGTTGACTTAAGTAGCATATTCATTCTATTTATTACTGTATAGTTAGTAATTTTCGAAAGCACCTTTTACTCTCACATGCATTAGTAGTAATTAAACAAATGTGTGATAAAAGATTCATATGTATCTCTCTTTAGTTCCTTAAATTGTTGCTTGAAATTTCCTTCCTCTATGGTTGATTATAGGAGAATTTGGAGTTAGGATCATCAGCAGGAAGTAATAGATCTTTCCTTGAGAATGCGAATTCAAACCAGAACTTCAAGGAATCAACACATTCAAGGTTTGAAGGCCCAAGGTCTCCCATTGAGGATGGCATAAGTGCACAACGAACAGAATTATTATCATTTTTTACTCCTGTAATGGTAAAGAGACCTATGCCTACATTTTAAGACAAGTGCCTGAATGTTTTCCATTAACATACTTATGATAAAATTATTACTATTATGTTATAAAAATCTAACCTTTTTGTTTTTCTTTAATAGGAAGAAAACATCCTAGAAAATACAACTGGCATGCTTCAAATGCTTTACTCAGGGAATGAGGTCAACTCAGTTCAACAAAATCAACTCCATGGTCAATATAGTAAAGGAAATACCCTCCATGCCAAGCAGTTGTTGTATGTCAATGCATTTTCCTCTTGATTTTTGGTTTATAACTATATTCATCTTGTGTTTAGAAAGAATATTTCTTCTTTTCATCAATGTAGGCCTCAACATACAGAACCACTCAATTTGAGTAATAGCACAATGTTTGCTACTCAATTTGGAGTAGAAAACATGATAAACTATAGTATCAACAACAATGAGCAAGTGATGCCCTACCTTAACACATTACCTCAAAGCTCTGTGAGTTCTTCTAACAATATAGTTCTTATTTATAGTTCACTACAAGCACATACACACATGCTTTTATTGACCATTTTGAGGTTTGTCATGACAGACGATGGAGATGGAATTTTTAAATGAAAGATTAGTTAGCAACCAACAATCACCTAATACTTTGTTTTCTAATTACCAAAATGATATTTATAGGCCCTTGGCTCCATTAAGGTATGTGATTTATTATCATTAATACGTATGTAGTATGAATTTATCTATATGTGTGTGCATGTCTTCTTACTTTTTTGGAGATATTGATTTTAGGTCACAAATGTATCAATTTATAACAAGAAACAATTTTGATACAAACCATTCCAACCCTATCCTACAAAGACCTTATATAGCTCTAAGGTACCTATTGTATAAATTCAAAAATTAATACATATGATATTGATGATTGTATTCTAATTGAAATCTCCAATCTAGACCACAACATTTTAATAATCATCAACAACTACTTAATCAAGTATCGGTGATGCCAAATGCATCCAATTCACAACTTAAACCTCAACATTCAATGGCCATGCCATTTTGGTACTATATCCAACTATCTCTTTCTTTTTCCTTTCTCGTGAAAACTATTGTAACATTAAGCATTAAAGGATTTGCTTTTCCTTTTGATTTTAGGTCTCAGCATGTTTCTTATCAACATAATCAATTTCCCTTGGCACCTAGAGGATATCATGAGAATATGTTGCCTGACCTTTCTATGTCTTTAAGGTATTGATTTTTTCTCTATAAAATTTAAACAAGATAGATGACATATGAATACAAGTTAAATTTACTTTGTTTTGAAAAATTAGGAGCCCAATATTACCTCAGCATCATCAAGTTAATCAAGAACTCAATAGAGCCAATATGATGCTAAATATATTGGATCCAATGTATGCCAACCCTATGATGCTTTCAAGGTACACTTGACTTAACCACTCTTTCTTATTCAATAAACCAAAGTTTCAAAATGTTATATTTTTCTATACTCATCATCATCACTTGTGAACTGTGTCAGGCCACAACAGTTACTAAATCATCAGCACATGATGACAATGAATTTACCTAATTCATGGCATCATAATTCTGAATGTCTAGGAACTTTGTTTCCAAGTGTATCTAATTACCAGCAACTAAACCAAGCCTTAGAAGCACCAAATATGATGGATTTTGCATTCCAAAACTCTTTTCTTGACACCCCATCCATGTCTTCTAGGTACATAACTTAATCTTGATTATTCTTTTTGAGGAAAGTCTTTAAAACTAACAAACTTTATTTACAGGCTACAAACTATGCAACACCAAGGACTTTTGAATCAAAGAACTAGACCAATTGCCTCATATCCTGGATCTATGACATCCCCATCTAGTTTAATCTTTGACTCATCAACCCTTCCAGTAAGAAAACCTTAATCACTAAATTTTTAGATATAACATTGTCAAAGCATAATTAATCATCTATCAATAATTCTCTTAATAGGAAACTGCAGGATTCAACATTGACCTATCGATTCCACAGCAGATGGAAAACTCAACTAACAACGTGGTATGATCAAACATAATAGTATGATAAAGTCAAATTTCTTTTGTCTATTTAGCATCTTTTTTAGGGGTAAATTCTTGCACTGAAGCTTGTTTTGTCTTTTCAAAATGGTTTAGCAAGGGAATGATGGTCGACAAGGCCAAGCTTGGAGCATAGTTGAATTGGGTGAATCACCAACATTGAAACAATTTAAGGTATAAACTAACCTATCTAAATATATGTCTTTTGGTATCATAAAGATTACTTTGATTTAACCTTTTTGTTTGATCAATTGTAGAGGGAATCCAATAGGAATTCTTTATTTCCTCAGGTTGAAGCCATTCATCGTAACTCTTCAAGTTTTTTCCCTCCAAGGTTTTCTTCATATTGTTTCATTTATGTTTCATTTATTTTTCATTATGATTATAAAATAACTCCCTCCTAACTCTAAATAAAATGTGGTATGATCTCAGGCACATGAAAAATTCACTCTATGATCCAATATTTGAAGGGATTGGACTTCCCATTGACCCCCATCTGAGGCTTTTTGATAATCCAAGACGCTAGCCTCTAGGTAATTGCTTTTTGAACCATAAACTAATCTCTACTATTTCTTTCCATATTAAACATTCTCTAACCTCTTCTCTAAACTTTATAGGTGCAAGAGCTCATGCCAAATTCTACTAGCTGTCAAGTTTGAACTTATAGTACATGGAATGTTGGTTTCCTAATAAATCCCCAAAAGGCATTATGGTGTTGATGTTTTCTATAGGAAGAAAGTTTAATTTTTATCCTAGTTAGAATTATGAAACCTTATTTCCTTTATGTTGTTGTAATTAACATCTTCTCTAGACTTTATCAACTTGATCTATAGAAGACTTATATAATTATTTTGTTGAAAATGTTAATAATGGGCTTTAGGGGAGTTGGACAAAGGAGAGTTGGGTTCAATAAAACATTAGGTTTGGTGAAGAAATGGCCAAAACATGAAAGGTCTATCTAGCAGCCAAAAAAAGAGGGTCGAGACTTTCTCAAGAGATACCACCTGGCGATCATAGAAAAAAAGGGATGGAGTTGGTAGGATTTGCCAAAGCTTGAATCAAATGACCATCTTCCACCTTTCCAATCTCCTATTTTGAATCTATCCAAGTTGGGAAAAGTACCAAATCTGGGTTAATCTTCGTTAGAGGAATACACTTAAGGCCATAAAACATTAATAAGATCTAACATGATCCAAGCTTAAAAACTTGAAATTATTGGAAAGGTAATTGGTTTGGAGGCTAAAATTAATGAATAAGGATGTCCATAGAAACTAAATGACAATGGCTTCAAAATCCCATAAAAAATGCCCACCCACTCCATCCAATGCAATATGGATAAGGACTAATCAACTACAATGATTAAGAGCAAAAAGTGAGTTTGACAATATCAAATGATTTCTCCTTAAAACCTAGATTCAAATCCAAATCTAAGTTCAATACTATAGATGAAAACAATGAGAGACACTACTACAAAACATTGAATTAATAAGGTAATATCTACAATGTATTTAGAAACATTGGTGATAAATGAATTTACCAATGAAATTTAAAATGCTAAACAGTCAATAGTAAATACATGCACGATGCTATTACTTTGCTTTCTGATATTAAGAATGGGGAGGGTAGATAAGTCTCTCAAATCATTATTATTATTATTATTTTTTTTTTTGATTTTGTATTGAACTTTTCCCCTTGGTGTCTTTTAGGCTTAGTGACTTTGTTTTTCAATTTGAATTGGGAAGCTAGGTAAGTCTTTTGGATTTATCAACAAAACAGATTGCATGAAAGTTGTAATGGGAATCAAAAAAGAAAGGAAATTGGTGAAAGAAAATCACCTATAATGATCAGCAAAAAGGATGCTCCTTAAGTATTTGTTGCTCCTCAAACATTCTTCTTCGTCTCCACATCATGTGATTGTTATGTCTCGATCACAGAATCAAAGAAAACTAATAATTAGTGAACTTATAAAAAAATATCACCGAAATAAGCTTACTCCCAGGATACTACATTTTTACAATAATACTTTATGAATATACATTGTTTATAAAATCATCTAATTCAAAACACTCTTCTTGCCTAAGAGTATTTGAAAATAGAGTATGGTAAAAACTAGAAGAATGCAAAGGAATTTATCTATCTTGAGCAAAACAATGTATTATTTATAGGACTCTTTTATAACTTGTTGACTTAATGCACTCTAAGAGGGGGGTGAATTAGAGTTCCAAAAATTCTCCCCTTTTGCAACCACAAAACCAAAGTTAAAGAGAGTATAGAAGAAGAGCTTGCACAATGAATTAATAGAGGTTCGGTCCAATTACTTGGAGCCTAGTCCTCTACCTTGGCTTCACTCACCAAGGATTTCCTCCACACTCTTCACTAAAAAAGACAAGGGTGGGTTAAAGGAGCCACTCAATCTTTTTATAAAAAGATGAGTATTTCTCTTAAACCTTACCCCTTTACAATGTAAAACCCACGAATCCTCTCAATAGATCACTCTTGAAGGAATAATCACACCCCTAAGAACATACACTAATAGAACAAGAAGAGGATTACAAGCAAAGATCACTCAAAGATCAAAAACTCAAGTTAAAGCTCAAGTAGGTAGGTAAAGATATTCAATACAATGTTCTCTACACTTCTTCAAATCTGTTACCAACCATATTTATAGCCATTTGCTCGAAAATAGTCGTTTCTAGCCGTTGGGGGTCATTAAATGCTCTGCAAGACGTAAAGCTCGAGTTGCAGGATTGTCAGGAGACCCGGCTTAGATTCCTAGAGCCGGCTCTATACAGTCGGCTCACCATTTCTGTAGCCAGCTTTGTGGGATTCTGCACATTTTGTTTTCTCCGTAAAGCCGGCTCCAAAACGCAAAGCTAGCTTTGTGGGTTTGCTGCACATTCTGTTTTCTTCCACAATCGGCTACAAAAAAACCTAGAGCCGACTTTGGTATTCCGACTTTAAAAAATATTAATTATTCTTCAAGTAAGTCGACCGTTGTACATTAAATGTGCCTTTACAGCCGACTGCAAAGTTAGAGCTAGCTCTGCATCTTTTCTCCGCGCGCGCCAAACATCGGACCTTTAAGTCTTTACTTGTAGAGTCGGCTGCAACTTCCAAAGTCGGCTCTCTGCACTTCCATTTCACTAGAGCCAGCTGCAGCTTTTAAGAGCCGGCTCTCTGCACATTTTCAATCCTTTTGGTTTATTTTTAGTGCAGTTTAAGTTTACTTGCAATCTTTTAGAAATTTAACTACACACTTAAATAAATCAATTAGTCACTCATATGTGTTTTGTAATAATCAAAATCATAGGTACAATATAACTCCCATTCATAAGTTAATTATATGAATAAATTAGACAATTATTATGAAATAATGTGCCCTTAAGTGACCATAAACATATAACAGTTAGTTTGACTAAGTTTTTAATAGAATAATAAATTTAATTTATAAAACAATAATATTTTATTTTTTTATTAGAATATTTAAATTCTCAGAGTGTTCAATATGTGTAGTCTCTTTCTCCACTTCCAAGTCCAAAGTAAATAAAAAGGGTTTATACTTATAATATAGAAACAACTCTTGGGAAGCATCTAAAACCTATCTAGGAAAATCTTATATACTATTCATGTTTGATTTGAAGGAGTGTGGGAACTCAAAGGAAACCAACAAAAAAATTTTATAAAAGAATATGGTCTAATTAAATTAGGGATAGTGATAGAGTTACCTTATGAACCCATACCCTCTTTCACACACTCGGTCGGTTCAAAAGATAAAATTAAAAACCTCCGAGATAGGCTTGTCCCTTGCTTGTCCAGCACAAATAACTCAGTAGAAATAATTGAATTAGTGAGATCTAGCACTTCAGTCTCCCCTTAGATTAGCCATATATAAATCCCCTTGAGATGTTGTCGTGATGGTGATAATGAAAGAAATCAAGGCAAATGATTGAGGGAGGTGTTTGAAATCCAAATCACAAAGTAAGGATATCTAGTTGTGAAGGAAACCCAACAAATCAGGTCTAGAATTTGGTCATCTAGAATCTAGTCACCACCACCATCATCGACAGGACCTTCGATTGAGAAATAGAAGCCTCCTTGAGTTAAAATGCTAATATTTTTATGTTCTTTTTACTTTTGTTAATATAGTTAAAGCTTCCTTGAAAAGAAATTGAAAGCTGTTCTTTTCTAATTATTATAGATTTTGAGCAAAAGGAGTTGGGAAGAAGAAATAGCAAGGAAGGTGGGTGCAATTTGGTGAGATCATCGGACAAAAAAGGGAGGCATTAGCCAATAGAATGGAGAAAAAGTGAGTTATTATCTAGTAGGAAGATAATTCATGTTAATTACATGAGTAATAGTGATCTTTAAGTGTTTCAGGTTAGAATGGCCATACTTAAGTGCTTTTGTACATAATTTCAAGTTAGAAAGATTTATATAGTATCTTCTTATTGAAATCAAGTAAAAGAATGTGCATCTCTTGGTATCCTATTAGGAAGAATAGGGTCGTAAAAGCACGAGTCAATTAGTTATAGATGGTAATGATAGCAGCAATGAACATGTAGGCATGCCTAAATGGTTGGAGGTAAAAAAAGGTCAAGATCTTGGTTTGGCAAATGATTGTTCAAACATTAAACTATGGTTACCGTCTATATTATTTAATTAAGTGCTACTTTTAAAAAAAGTATGTGTTATTGGGTAATTAGGTATGTACTAATGTATGAACCATTGGCTATTGCATTGTGCGCTTAATTGTAGGCATAAGGATTACATTCTTTTTACCTATACTGATTTAAAGTAATTCGATATATTTGTAGTTATTTACAGCTATATAATAGCCTATCACTGAGAGAGTATGATGTCATAATAACTTTTCTATTAAATATAGTTTTTAGGTTGTGGAGATGAAGTGGATTTTAAGAAATAGAAAATGCAATTTGCATGCTTGATTCTTTGTTGTACACTGTAGCCTTCTCGTCACTAGTTTTGAAATAAGTTCAAGGCAACAAGGGGTGGATGCAGCTGCAAACACTATTTCCAACAATGTTTTCGGACTCGACCCGGTGATTGACCTGTTTTGGCCATCGGGTCTGGTTTAACCAGTTAGATCGATTCACTCGATTGGTCCAACCAATCAACTTTAAAAAAAAAAAACATGTTTTGGACAATTTTGATTGGATTTTATCATTTTACCCTTGTAGATTACTTTTACTCTATTCTTAAAAAATAATCATTATAAAATCAACTTAAAAATCATCATTTAAGTCTTTAAAATAATAAATTTAATTAAATACATATAATTTTTAGAATCTAAATTAATAAATATTAAAATACATAATATAAAATAAGTTCATCAAGTATAATAATAAGGAAAAACTCGATCTTAAACTAAATTCATTACAAAATATGTTTTAAATATGAAAAAAAGTCTCAAATCAAATCCACAAATTGAAATTTTTGAATATTCTCTCTATTCTTCTTTAAAAAAAATTAATATTAATTAAATATTTGGTAAAACTATATGTTAAATTAATATTAATATTAATAATTTAATAATTAATTGTTATTTTATAATATTTAATTTTATCTTATATTTATAATTAAAATTAAAAATATAATTAATTAAAATTTTAAATTTAAAAAAATAATTAATTTTAGCTAGATAACTTCAAGTTAATCTAATTTAACCATGACCCAATGTAATTAGGTTTGGATAATTTTAATCTATTAGATTCCACTCAAGTCAAATTTTCAAATTGTATTCAATTTTGCCAATTCTAATCAAAGACAGCATCTTCGCACCTTTTCCCTGGTTGTTACTTCCTCCATTCTTTTCTTAAGGCTCTCCCATTTTATGGTCAGTTCCCATATATTTTCATCTATTTCAGCAAGCATATTTTCACCGATGGAGGTGCAGGGAGATGAAGTTGCTTTTTTCTTCTGTTCAAGCCGACGATAGTGGAGTAGGCAAAATGGTAGATCAGGGGCTACTTTGCTGCTTCTATTCGGCGGAAGAGATGAGTGGTCACTAGTGACATGCCGACGGAAGTGGAGCAAGCAGAATGGCAGATCAGGGGCTGCTTTGCTACTTTTGTTCGATGATGGGGATGAGCAGTGACTGGTGAGATGCCGATGGAGTCACAAAGATGGAGCAATGATGAGGGAGAGGGATGGCCAACGATGTCTTTGTTCTAGAATTTTAGTTTTAGCTTTCTAATTTTGTTTTTCTCAAGTGTTTTTACAAAATATTACCCTTTGATTAGGGTTTTTAGATTTAATTTTAGTTTAAATTTAAGGTTTTTAATGTAATATCATTAAAAATAGACTTGGCAAAATTGGACCCAATCCGAAAATTCGACCTAACCTGTCCGTTATAGATAGGGTTATGGGTCTTATGTGTTAATTCGAAATCCGAAATGACCTGAACTGAAATTATCTGAACTCAAATGGGTTGGGTCATGGGTGGGTCGAGTCACCCGAAATGACCCGAACTTTTTTTATTCATTTTTTATTAGATTACTTAAAAATTAATTTTTAATTTCTAATTTCTTAATCTTAAAAGTAGAAATAAATGAAATACTCAAACCTAATCTCTCATCAATTTCACTCTCTCAACATTTCCTCTTCTCCACTCTTGCTCTCCCCTTCTTCATCTCAAGCTCTCTAATCCTCTTCTTTGGTGCAACTCGTGTAAAAAATTAGATTAGGTGGCACATAGTGAGTTATGTTATATAATATTGTAAAAAAGATCATTTTTAAAAAATAAAAAACAAGAATGCTTACTGAAAATTAAAACCCAGTGATTAAGGTACACTCATAACCATTAGAAATATAAAGACAAGAACAGCAAGAAACATCAAAGTCCCTTCTTAATTGCTAATTTGTTCTTAATTAATAATTTGTTCCTAATTAATAAAAATCAATTCCAATCCAAATTCTTCTTGTATTTGGTTAGACATATTTTGGATTTGCTTTTTAAACTTTAATAT